TGAAATCAGCTCTGAAGTAATCCTCCTAAAGTAAACGGCTGCCACATGCTCTCACTTAAGAAATTTTATGCCTCTTCCACACCAAACACATTCCACCTTATAGCAATGCTAAACAAAAATGTCTGCACTAAGTACAACATTTTCCTTCCACAAATGAAATTAGCTCTAGGGTTATATACATTGAATAGATTCAGACAGTTACCATACCTGGGTAATGAGCTGTACTGCCGCTGAGCTTGCTGGAAACTCTCCCTTTCTTCTTGCCGCTGCCGCTGCATTTGAACCTCTACTGATACTGAGTGTCTGCCACTCTGTGAGTACGTCTTGGTGCTTGGCTACAAAATGAAAATGAAAATGTCTTCAACAAAGCAGAAAAATACCCACAAAAGAGCTACCATTTAAGTTGCTATTGTACACATATGGTTACATTTGTTTCAACATGTGGTTCAGGTAGCTTTTTCACACTAATTAGGTTAAATTCTGACCCATAACAGTGTCCTGTGCTGTTGTACCATTTCTGAGATATATCAAGAAAATATTGGTCCAGAATGGATTATGGATTATGGATTATGGTATAACACTGAAATTAAAACTAAGTTGGTGGAACAGATCTTCAGGCACTGTACGTTAGCCTAGCTATGGTAATACTAAGTTTTACCCCAATAAAGATCGGAGGGAGGATGGAGCACAGCAGCTCTTTCAAACCTCACCAATATGCTCAATTGATGCTCTTAGTGAAACCATCCCATTTTGCTGGTGGTCCAGACATGCACTGATTGCTTTTCTAAGAGATAAGGAAACGTTTTCTGGTTCAACATGATCGAGTAGATAGCTTTAGCAAGTCTCTTGTGGAGACAGGGGAATCCTGTATCTCTGAGAAGGATTTTAGATAACATTTTCATCAGATGACAATTCGAAAATTTGAGGCCAGTACTAAAAGCAAGTGAAAATGGATGGCCTTTCTGGGAATAGAGAGCATTACTTATCAAGATCTGAAAGAATGGCTTCATTCAAACTTTGGATTATGAAAAAGTTTACTTTTGTAGAGAGAGCACTTTTCATTTTACATTACTACTGTCTTCAGATTTTGTGATTTCAAATTGCAAATAAGGTGCTAAAAAAGTCATAGAATATTATGGGGTTTTCTTGTTTTAATAATCTGGTTTCACCTAACAAAGAAATAGAGCATTATTTTATCTATCTTCTTAAAATTGCCAGTTCTACTCAAAACGTGTAAGCCTAATCACTCAGAGGTTAGGGAGCATAACCACTTATCTGAGCCTGGAACTGAAACAGCTTGTCTCTGACTTGCTTTTTTTTAAAGCATTTTCGCCTTTTCATTTGTACCTTCCCTCTAAACAAACATCTCTTGTTTTAACCATTATAATTTCTGCAGCAGAAAGATGTCATAATGGCTCATAAATATCTGCAAGATAAAAGGCTTTGCAAAAGCTTCATAAAATGAAGTCAAGTTTTAGAAACTAGAAAGTTGCCATTTGTGACATAAACTTCTCCTTTGTCACACTATACAATAAATTGCCTGCAGGTAGCCAGAAACACAACAAATTTGAAACAGATGTACAACATTTAGAAAGTTCATTTTTGATAAAATAAACTTCTGACAGGGCATCAGTCTTGGCTCAGAATTTAACAGACACAGTTCGGTGACAACTGCCTTTCCTATTATGAAAAGATTATTGTGCAAAAGAATCAGAATGTGAAAGCATAAACTATGAGTAATGGAGAACTTATTGAAGAGAATCCTTAATACAACATTGATGTCTAGTTCAAAATAGACTTATTCTGTAAAAACCTCAGTAAAACAGTAGTTCTAATGAAAAATGCTTTAGGAATGGTGTGATGAAGCAACACGTTGAGAGCCTCGTGAGTGTGTCAGGCTCATGAGAAATTTTCTTCAAGATGAATAAGCTGTACATATGTATGTCCAAACCAACAACCCCCATGGAGATTTCCTACTATATTAAATGAGGGCAACACATACAGAGCAGGGTTTCAGTTATTGCATATGTCAACATTTCTAACTTTCTTGACTTTATTGAGAGTCATCTGACATTTGGTATTTTATTGAAGAGCTCAGCTTATGGAAGCAAGTGATTACCTAAAAATCACAAGATTTACTTGTGAATTCTCTCCAGTGTGGTTATAAGCAGTTTACAGAGAACCATAGGGAAACTCAGAAGTTCCCATCTCAACTTCTCCATAAGGAATGAAAATATTTAAACTAAGATTTTAGAGAAAATCTCCTCATTTCATGGGTTCTAATTTAACAATGGTGGAAAGCTTGCAGCTACATTGTGTCATATGTGAGACAGTAGTTTTCACATATAAGACATGAAATCAGAATTGCTTCTCTTTGAAAACACAGATTTGACTTTTCTTTTATTTCACTGTAAATATAACATATTAAAGAATTTTACAGTACAGGGAATGCTTAAATTACCAAACAGGTGGAGTGGAAATTGAGCTGCTACTCAATTTAGGTTTTTAGAAAACACTAAAGTACATCATCTAGAAAGCATGAATGCAAGTACATGAACACACATGTGCCCAGAGCTGAAGCTGCCACAAAAGCCTTTACTAAAGTGACAGAGCTTTGAAAGCCCTAATGGACTATGAATGGACTAAGATCAAAATGTAGCTTCAGAGATTTTTTTTTTTTTTTTTTTAATTCACAAAGGAACCAGTGGTTGAATAGAGGCAGGGGCTATCACGCCTGTGTGCCCATTGTAGGGCATGCCCAGAATAACTGGACCTCAGGAGTCAGGTCTGGATTCTCTGCAGGTCACAAAGAATTTAATCTAATGGACAGCATTTATAATTTGATGGGTCTAAAAGCAAATATCTAAAATCCATTATCTGATTTTCTGAAGGTATGAGTACCTGTACACCCTGTTAAACTAAATGGATTTGCAAGACTTAACTAATCTGAAAAGGATACTTATTTAGAGTCCTGTCTGCATGTTGTTCACATCTACAAGAAGTCGTCCCTATAATCAAATCTGCTATCTGATTTCAAGCATCCAAAAAATATATCAAGGAGACATAAACTCCGCCTGTTTGTAATCAAATATTCCATATCATAACACATAGGTATATTCAACCATCTTATTAATGAAAAGACCTTTCTTTCAAATCTTTGCATTAAAAACCTCAGTGATACCATAATGAGTTCCCTTGGTATATGGTTATGATTATACAAAGACTTAAAGTCTTAAATACTGCTTTTTGGATCCTTAACTTGTTCAGAAAAATAAAAATCACCATACAGTGATTTATCTTCTTAGTATGCTTTCAATTAAAGAATCTAAACCAAAAATATTTATATCATAAGAAACTTTAGTCTTCAAAAGCTAAATGGCTATTTTGTCTCAGTCCCCAAAGTATTCTATTATACATACATATTTATACAAAATATATACACAAACACACATCTATATAAAAGTATACCCTGTTTATGTCAGTACAAAATGGAGGTAATTAAAAAAAAAAGGGTGAATTATTTTCATATCTTTCAACAGCAACCAAGGAACATGTATAAGGAATACACATAACAGTAATTTTAACACTGATATCAACACAAGGCTAACTATAATTATAACAATCTGAAATCATCCAACAAACCTGGCAACAGCTCAGTCTTCACAGCACAGATTGATAAGAACTCTGGACTTGTTTGCAATGAGCTGTATGACAAGCACTGACCTTTTAAATCAGGATGCGGTCAAGGCCACAATAACAACCAAGGCTGCATTATACAAATAAATGTATGTTCATGTCTTCCACAGTACATTTAAGTGGCAATGATAGTTATTGTGTTCAGCATTGTTAAACAATACTCAATATGTAAAACTGTGCTTTAAGATACATGAAATTACACAGCTCTTTTCTCAAAGAGGCATTACTTTAAAAGCAGGACTGCAAAGTTAGAAGTTTCTACAGATTTCTCATTTTATGCAAATAACATTTTTTTCAATTCACAGAGAATGTATGCCCATGTCTCACATTGCACTCACCACTACCAGCAGTAAAGGGCAGCATATTTTACAGATTAAGGTACCTCCTCTCTTTCCTTGCTACACCAGTGGCTGCCCATGCCGTTTCTTTCCCTGCAGAATGGCATTTCTGCACATGGAGTGTAGCTCTGCATGGTGGCAGCAGGGATCCTCCAGGACTGGCACAGATCAAAGTTGCCACAGAGAATTGCAGAGGAGATCATGGGTGAGATCCAGGGCACTGGATTTTCAGGGAGATTCAACCACTTCAGGTGACAGGGATCCACCACTTGAGGTGACACACCTATCCAAAAGCCTACTCCCAAAGGGACAAACTGGGAGTAATGCTTACTCAGAATCACAGAACTCCTTTGTGTTGACAAAGAAGCAGTTAATAGGTAGATTAATAAAGGAACAAGTCCCTTAGTATTTTCCCTGTTATTAAAAAGACCATTATTTAATATAAAATAAATATGCTATTTTTTTCCAGATTAAGCTCTGTGTTTAACCAAGGAGTTTCAAGTTCACCTGGAAGTCAGTAGACACAAGGCCCCCAAAACATCCACGGTTCTTACAGTTCAGCACTGATTAGACATAGATGAGATTAAATGATCTTGCCTGCTTTATGTGTAAATGTACTTGGCACAGATGACAGACAATCCAGTAACTGTGTATATCAAAATTCAGAGTGATAAAAAACATACAGTGGTTCTGGGACATGTCCTTGAAACTATTTTTACTTCCATCTTTTTGTTTATGTTGCTATGGTGAACAGTACATGTAGCAATATTTCCTTTAAAAATTGTCAACAGGTATGTGTATTAATTCAAGCACCATGTAATAAGAAAAATCCCATCCCTTTGTGTATCTTTCTATGGTGCATATGTAGGAAGCTGAATGGTGTGGTATGGGATAAAGATTTCTGTGTATAGCAGCAACAAAAAGAAAATCTTCAGCATGGTAGAAACAAATCATTTAGCCCTGAAATTCTGCCTGAGGTATTTACATGCACTGCATGCCTGTGAGCTATAAATCGTTTGTTTACAAACTAAAATTGTTTCATTTTTTTTTAAAATCTTCTATCTTCATTTTCCATTTTGTAAAAAAGATTGAAACTAGTGGTGGAAAAAAGTTTTAAATATGAAATCTAGAGTCAGAGTTTAAATGTTGGCAAGAAATTGCTGGCATTTTATGAAATCCTTTGCAGGTTTGACACAGAATGGATAGTAACTACAGAGCTGAAGAGAAACTACCTGTGGAGAGGCTGCCCTTCTTAACTTTGGTTTCCCCTCTGAACCTACTGGGGTAGGAGAAACAGCAATTTGGGTCCTAAGGTATTCTTTGTCTACTGAAATACTCCATTAGGTATCACCTAATACCTTGAATAAAATATCCTGAAAGAGACTCTTAAAATGGATTCATAATAGAATGAATTAATATACTACTTTTCTTTCTTATTAATGGGTTGACTAATTTTACATAATTTACACCCTGATATAAAATTTAAAATGTTTGCTTTGAATATAGTCTGTTATTAATTTTCCAGGTAAAATTAATATGCTACAGTTGAAGGTACACAATAAAAAACATGTTTTTGTTTTTCTGAAAGAATCCATTATGGCTTTGAATAGGTCAAGGATGTGAATACAGAGATCATAGAATCGTAGAATAGTTAGGGTTGGAAAGGACCTTAAGATCATCAAGTTCCAACCCCCCCTGCCATGGGCAAGAACACCTCACACTAAACCATGTCACCAAAGTCTCTGTCTAACCTGGCCTTGAACACCTCCAGGGATGGAGCATTCATAACTTCCTTGGGCAACCCATTCCAGTGCCTCACCACCCTTACAGTAAAGAACTTCTTTATATCTAACCTGAACTTCCCCTGTTTAAGTTTTAACCCATTACCCCTTGTCCTATCACTACAGTCCCTAATGAAGAGTCCCTCCCCAGCATCGCTATAGCCCCCCTTCAGACACTGGAAGGCTGCTGTGAGGTCTCCACGCAGCCTTCTCTTCTCCAGGCTGAACAGCCCCAGCTGTTCATATATCTTCATATGGGAGGGGCTCCAGTCCCCTGATCATCCTCGTGGCCCTTCTCTGGACTTGTTCCAACAGTTCCATGTCCTTTTTATGTTGAGGACACCAGAACTGCACACAATACTCCAGGTGAGGTCTCACGAGAGCAGAGCAGAGGGGCAGGATCACCTCCTTTGACCTGCTGGTCACGCTCCTTTTGATGCAGCCCAGGATACAGTTGGCTTTCTGGGCTGTGAGCACACACTGAAGCTGGCTCATGCTCAGTTTCTCATTGACCAACAGCCCCAGGTCCTTCTGTGCAGGGCTGCTCTGAATCTCTTCTCTGCCCCACCTGTAGCTGTGCCTGGGATTGCTCCAACCCAGGTGTAGGACCCTGCACTTGTCATGGTTAAACTTCATAAGGTTGGCATCAGCCCACCTCACAAGTGTGTCGAGGTCCCTCTGGATGGCATTCCTTCCCTCCAGCACATAAACCGAACCACACAGCTTGGTGTCATCAGCAAACTTGCTGAGGGCACACTCAATCCCACTGTCCATGTCACTGGCAAAGATGTTGAACAAGATCGGTCCCAACACCGATCCCTGAGGAACACCACTCGTTACTGGTCTCCAACTAGAAACTTAGCCGTTGAACACAACTCTTTGCGTGCGGCCATCCAGCCAGTTCTTTATCCACTGAGTAGTCCATCTATCAAATTGATGTCTCTCCAATTTAGAGACAAGGATGTCATGAGGGATAAGAAACAAGTACTATAACCAGATTAAAAAAAAAGATTTTTTTTCTTTAAATCGGTCTTCGAGACAAGATCTGCACACCAACAGCCAACAGAAACCCACATAATCTCTATATTTTCTGAGCACTTACCTAGGAGGCCATGCCTAAATATGTTATTAGGACTTCTGGGTCTTTCCTCTATGAAAATTGTGCAATTGCTTATGTTTCACAAATTTTGTGCATATAAATAAAGCTATACTCAGACAAGTCAGGTAGCAGATTTATTTTGACCCAGTTAGCTTTTCTGTTTAGAAAAAATAAAATCTTTTTATTTGATTCCTAAATATTTAAAGTAGAGTTTGCTGGTCCCTCAATTCCTGTTTTCTCCCACCGTCCATATAAGTCCAGGGTGTATTTGTGAATTGAATTTGCTGCTTTCCATTTTTAGTGCTGATTATTTTATTAAAGGTGAAGAAATGAACCACCAACTTTTGTCCCCCAGCATCTTGATCGTTGGTGTGCTTCTACAAGCAGGACATGTAAGCAGTTGTAATGTTTTCAGTGGATTTAATATGCTCTGTTTTGAAACTGGATTGTTCACTCCCATGACATATAGGGCTATAATGCTGTGGTTTTGTTATTGAAGGGGGGGATCTGTTAATTAAGATGTGACTAGGCAAAAAAACAAGATAAGGAACAAAGTACAGTCAAAATCCTCCCAACCCCAGGACTGGTACAAGGAAGGCTAAACCTCAGCAGACCCAATACTACCCTCGAAAGAACAAAACCATAGTCTCCACTTTGGAACCAGAAGAATCAGCCACACAAGAACCCTTGCATTGGTATAAAATACCATAGCAACAGCAAGGGCCTTCAATATTAGCAGACATACTGTGATTCCATGCAATTCTGCATGCCCAGATACACCTTTCTGTGAACTCTGACTGGAATTAACACCAGCAGGATTAAAATGGATTAATAATATTTTATGCTATTTTTCTTTATTTATTTTTTTCTCCCATGTAACATCAGGCATATAGCATTGCCCTTGCAACCCTCTTGTACCTTTGTGTTTTTTGAAACACCAAACATAAAAAAGCAATGTAAGAGAAAAAAACATAAGCCTGAGAAAGTTATCTTAAAATAAACAAATGCAAAAGCACCTTCCATAAAGCTTTGACTCAGCTGCAGAACTAGTGGATTTTAGAGATGGCTCAATGTTGCAACAGTTAGTTATTAAACCTTAACAGTGTGTCATTCAAATGGCCTTGAGCAGAAATGTTACGCTACTTAATACGGTGTCATCTCATTCCATCACTATCACTTCTTGTGCCTGTTAAGCTGCCTGTGTCTGAACACTCATAGGCAGTCAAGTGGTTTGTTTACTGACAGGGCAAACACAGCCGGGCAAAGAAGTCCAGCGCTGTCACATTACTCATGTACAGAGAAAGAGCCTTCACCTGATGGGCACAGCTAGAAAGCGATGGGGTCAGGCAGTGGTCCCTCTGCCACGGGTATCACTCAGAGCAAGCATGATGTAGTGCTCCATGGCATGGAGATCTGTCTCTAACCCATGGAGGAGACTGGAGGCATTTGTCACAAGTATCTGGACTCCTGTGTCACAGGCCATTAATAGCCTGGGATGGATTGGAGTTGGTGATTTCACAGGATCATTTTGATAACATATTAGCAGGTTTCTGAGCTATTGAGCTCCTCTGAATATCCTCAGAGCTGCCAGATTTCCATCGGTGTCCATTACTTGTACTGCAAAGTTTGTGTTCATTTACACTTCTTTAAAGTAACCAATAGTCCCACATCACATCAGCACTTTGTTCCCTATCCTCTCATCAGCTTGTTAATGAGAAATGCAAAATACTTATCACCTCATAGCACACACTTCTCTGTGGATGGATTTTTCCTCTCTTTCTACCCAAACCAGGCCAGAGTTGGCTGCTGTCCTGCAGCTCAGATGCCTCTCTGGATATAAAGCCTTTTGTTTAAGTCGGCTGCGCAACCCATCTCCCTCAGGTGAAAACACACTTTTCAACAATATTCCACACACAGGTGCACTTTTCATTGCTGCGGTTTGTAACCAACAGCTTACAGATGGAGAAGACTGAAAAGACATTGATAAATGTATCTTAAGTATTTTCCTGCATACCTATTGTACACTATTTTTGCTTTTTTTGTGTGTCACTGGTATTTAATGATACATCTGGATCTGTTTTGAGAGGATATATTAACAAAGTCCATCATTTTAGACTAATAGGTTAAAGTAATACACACTCCTTAAGAAAGAGGGTTATGGCTCCTTAACACTGAAATGACTGTGAACTGCTGAAATGGATGAGATCATTGGTTTATCCTTTCCAAGCACTGTGATCTCGAAAGGCTGGAGTACATGATGGAAAAAAAAAAAGATTCAAAAATGCTCCAGGCCAATTTTTTTTTTTTTTAGGTACTTATCTGAAATAAAACATTTGGTCACCTGTGTATTTAACAACAGAGCAGCTTCTACAAAGCAACAATGAGCTTCAGAATTAATATTAATACATTAAGCTGAATTAATCACTTTGAGCTCATTTGCATGATCTGTAGAAGTGGGGTAAACAGAAAGATCCCATTTGTTTGAATAAGAGAAAAAGGAAAGGTCATTGTTCTGACCCACAGTTTAGGAAATTATTCCATTCCTAAGGTAATCAGCCTGTCATCCAAATAATTCCCTCCTCCCCCATTACAAGAAACTATAATAAAAGCCAAGTTGCCTGTCTAAAGTTGCTATGGCATTTAGATAGATATACAAAAATTCGGCCCATGACCTTCAGTAGTTAAGTTCCCAAGTCTTCAAGGGTGCAAGTTTTTCTCATGCATAGTTTTCCCAAGAATGCTGCTTAGATCTCTCAATTTGAAGAACTAAACAGCAGTTGATATGCCTAATGGAAAGTACCTCCTACACCCAGCCCTCTTTCACCTCCAAACTGCTACACTATAATTGTGATGAGCTATCACACTATCTTAACCACATCAAATCAGAGATATCTAATAATAAAAATATGTATGTTTGGGTTTTTGTGTTTTTTTTGTGTGCTTTTTTTTTTATTTTTTTAAATTCAATATCAGAGAAGGTTAGAGGTTTCCTAACGTGGGAAAATAGAAACCTATATCCTGATACACTATGTTAAACAGTGCTAGGTCATTTAGGGATACATTTACCTTTGTTCCTCTCCATGCTGCATGTCGAAAATACCACAGGTTCAAATTAGTGAGTTTAAAACTGACAAAGACACAAAGACCCAACACAAGTAAGAAAATCTATATCCACCACAATAGGCAAACAAGGATGACATATGTATTATGATGCATATGGTTGTTCTCAGTGACACACCGATGCAGATCTTCAGCTATTTCCACCTTGGTCTCATGTGCATCATAATGCTAAGTAACAATAACCCATCACCTACACCTGCTTCAGAGGAAGCTGTGAGAGATTCTATTGCTGTCATCATACAGCTCCCTCTGTTTTGGGAATGCAAGCCAATTGTTCACTGTCTTTATTGTGGAATTTTAACCAAGATACAATGAAATATTTGTCCCATATTTAAAGGATCCTAATTTAGGATATGTAATTGATTAAAAAGCAACATAGATTCATTCGATCGTGTTATACAAGGTAAGCACATGGATTTACATAATTGTATCACTTTGCTAAACCAGATTGAACTGGATTTAAATTATCAATTAGGATGTATGCCTTGAGACAGAACTGTCTTAGCTAATACAAGTGGCGAAGGGGTACTATTGTGAAGCATGTTATTATGCATATCTCTCCTTTTTTACTGTGAAAATACACAGCTCTTCCTCTCAAGAACTAATCGCAGCGATTTATCTTCAGAGGTAATATGATTTACAAAGTTACATGTTTCTGTAAATTTTTTATTGTTAGTATGTATTTTAGTCTGATTTTCCAAAAAAAAACCCAACAAAACAACAAACCCAGAATATCAGAATAATTAATACTGCCTTTCAGGCAAAAAAATCCAAGTAATGATTCACAGAATCAAGGGTCTAAACATGGAGGAAATAATGCTAGATGCACAGAGGACAGATGGCTGAAGAAGTTTAAAAATGAAAAAAAAACATCAAGGAACCAAAGATTAGGATAACAGAAAGGGCAAAAGGGTGTAAGGAGAGGACCTGTGATCCTATCAGTCTCCTTCCATCCAGCCTGGGAACAGCAGGAGTCAGCCAACCTTCCCAGATTTGAGAGGCTCTGTCCACTTACCCATGGTTGCTCAAAACTGTAAGTACGTCTCCTGTCTTCCACGTCCTCATCTTGCTTTGCTTGCTGAAACTCTTGTCTCAGGCGCTGTATCCGGTCATGATTGTTAGGGGTTGATCTGTTGCTAGAAGAGAGAGGATGGAAAAGATCAATATACTTGGGAGCTGCCGTCTATGACTGTAATTTCTTAGCACAGGACTGCTATTACAGTGCAGGACTACAGGTGCAAAAATAATTTCCAAGCATGTAGTACAAAGTTTTTTAAAGGTGATTAATGCTGTTTGACTTATAAAGAGACTCAGGTGGTATAAGGGTAAAATGAATGAGACAATTCCTAAAAATCATCAAATGCTGCTTGCCTCTTTTCAGTGAATGTTACTGCTAGAAATTAAGAGGAATGGATGTGCTAGTATCAGACTTAACATAAAGGCAAGTTAAAAGTCCTAATGCTCTCTGCTACTGAATAAACATGAAAGATACTTTTTCCCAGTCAATAAACTATGGCACTGTCAGAACTTTATTCATATGAAATTCATTACAAAGTCTGAAGGCTCTACCTATATAAAATTTTATTATTTTCCCCAATCAATAAAAGCCTATCATCCCTTAGTTCTGTTTTTAACAGGTCTTTTAATCTGATCAGTCTGAAAGCACTTAAAAGGCTTGGAGGCCAGTAAAACCAAATCCATTTGACAATGCCATAGGCAGGAACACATCCAGGCAGCAGATGGGCACTGGCTGGGCTGGAGAAGACTCAATCCTGGATGTACCGCTATGTACCAGCACAACCACAACCTTGAGTTCTTCAAAAACATCGTTTTTTCCATGATTCCTGTTGCAGGTCTCTATAGTACACATTTATATGGAACCATGATGAAATACACACAGGAATGACTTATTTCATAGGGTGGAGGAAAAAATGATATATATCAATATCATTGCAGTTTTCCCAGCTGTGCGGCTCCCACCTGAGCCCTACAACCCCCACCATATCTCATGCATGTTAATATGGGCATCGCAAGAAGCCTGACAAACAAATATGTTGTATCAAGGTCTAACTGGAGGCATTTTAATCTCCTATTATGGCCTTCTTAATCCCTAAACTTTATTGTTTATTTCCTAATGAGATATGGACAGCTATTACTTTGTTTCAAAGGAGAAATCTACAGGGAGACAATGTAAAGCAATTCCATAGATTCCTGTTCTTGGACATAGAGTACAATAAACCACAGTGAATTTATATCCCATATCTTCTCTCATAGGAAAAGAGATGATTCTGGAATCTAACTGTGACTGCTTTACATGTCTTTTGAAACTGGTAGGTGCAGTGGACTGGAGGAGGTAGATGCTTGAGACGTTACCTAGCACTCTTGTCAGTGCCATTAAATGGAGCTTATAATGCTTAGCCAAACAGAAAAATTAGCATGGTTCTATCAAAGGCTAATTTTTGAAGCGGTTTAGGGTTTGTTTTAGGTTGTTTTTGAGTTTTGGTGTTTTTCTTTTTTTCTCCTTGTCTTTGAAGATGAGAGCAGAGAAAAAGCATGAATCTGGGGAAGCCCTTCCTCCCTTCCTCTGTCCCTCCCTCCTTCTCTCTTTTCCTTCTTTCCTTCTTTCCTTCCTTGCCTGCCTGTCTTCCTGCCTCCCTTCCTCGGAAGCTTAAAGAAATATTTTATTTTTAATGGAAATGCAAATTTCCGTTTTGAAAAGTACAATTAAAGGAAAGATTTATTTAGAACAGGTGGAAATTAAACATTGTGGCTCTTCACAATTTCCATTCATTATAGGTGTATTGCTAATTCTACTTCCTTAATTCAACTTAATTTTGTGAAACAGCTTATGTTATTTAAATGTATTCCTTATTGTCAAATTCTGCACAGCTTTACTATACAGCCACTTGTTTTTCCCACGCGTTGCTGTACACTGCACATTTTATATGCAATCACCGCAATCCAGTACAAGACATAAAAAATACTTTTAAATGGTCTGCTGATTTTTAAAACTGGTGTTGTTAATCTAATAAACAAGTAGTCCAAGACTTTCTACACAGACAGTGTTTTCTGTATGTTGCTGTTAAATGTAGCAAAGTATTTTAAGTATTAGTATTTCAGGTATAAGAACACATTTGAAAGAGAAATGCCATTGAGCTTCACTGCAAAATTACTTGAAAAGCACTATATAGACACCTTGAGGTACTGAAGATGACTGGTAAATAATCAGCCTTCCTTAATCAAAGTTGTTTCAAACTCTAAGGGATGACAGTGCAGAAGTGACACTGGAGCAGGTATTCAATGGCAAAGAAAATCATTAGGTAAACCCACAAAGTACTGCACTAAAACCTATGCATTATAGGGAACAGAAACTACTAACCCCAAAATAGACTACTGGAAGGACTATTACAGATCTGAGAACTTCTGCACATTTTGGGATTGTTGTTCCTTAAAACTTACATCAGCAGAGGAATAGCAAATGCATAGTGTCCATGCCAGGAAGACAAAATTCATGTCTACTCCCAAACATCAAATTCATTAATTTGTCACCCTTACACTGGAGAGATGAACAGCATCCAGACCTATGAAGAACTTATACTAATGACAAAAAAAAAACACCAAAAAACAACAACAAAAACCAAACAAAAAAAAAAAAAACCAACAAAAAAAAACCAACCAAACAAAAAAAAACCAAAAAACCAAAAACCAAAAGGAAGACAGAAAATTAAAAGAAAAGAAAAAAAGAAGTCAGGCTAATTTAAGAAAAATTAGAAGGTTTTATAACGGCAGAGAAGATAAATCTTTTAACAATATTTCTATTTTATTTGAAAGGCAACAGAGATGACCCAAACTTAGAAATTTGCAAAAAGAACTGATATATATAAAAAAGGG